GGGGTGGGGGGGGGGGGGGGCAACTGACCTTCCCACCCCAGCAGCTAATCTCTGTTCTCCAGTCTCCACCGAACTATCTCAAATCAAGCCAACCTGCCCCGGTCACTTCCGCAGCCCCGGGGTGGGGGGTTGTTGGCACAGAGGCGGGGGCTGTATCTTTGTGTGCACATGGCTTCCCTGTCCAAGCAACCAAGCCCTCCCAGGACTGGGAAGCCTGAGGGACAATGCCAGGAAGCCAGGCCCCCGCCTCCAGGCCTGGCCCGGCGACCCTGCTCCTGTGTTGGAGCATTCTAGCTTATGTTGGGAAACTGAGGCTCACAGAGGGGGAAGCTGGCTAAGGTCACTGGGCAAGTTGAACATGTGATGTGACCCCACACATTTTTGCCCAGATCATCGGAGACCTGACAGGCTCGGTTAGGGATACAGACCACAGTGGACAAATACCTTCCCTGTTACGGAATAAAGCTCTGCCTCCCTCCAGGGACAAGGCTGTGGGGGAGGGGTGAAGTCAAAGAGCCTTTATGAGACTAATAGAAGGCTTTACTCTGGAAGGTTCCACTTATCCACCCCAACCCCACCACCATGGTCTGGGAGAGTGGCCAGGACCCCTTGGGCTCCAGGGCTATTTGGGCCTAGAGTGGTCCCCATGGAGTCCCTGGACCTGCAGAGAATACCATGTAGAACCACAGCAAAGGACTTCACAAAGCCAGCTTACGTGAGCAGTGGTGGGACCATGGGACAGCCTGTCCGCGTCCCTCCCTCCGCTCTGGGAAGAAAGGGGTTTGTGTATGTGAGAGAGAATGTGTGTGCATGACTGCCCCAGGATAGACAGAAAGGGAAATGTGGTTCCTGACCTGTCCCAAGGGAGTATGTCAACAGAGACAGTGGCCATGGGACCTGGCCCTGGCCTGTGTCCACGGTGACCAGATAATTGACCATCTAAGCAGAGACATTTCCGAAGATGAAAGTGGCGCCGTTAATAATTACGCTGGGATCACAGACCTAGACTGAGACTGTCCTAAGCAACCTGTGGGGCACGGCCACCTAGTGCTACCCCTCAGCCTCAGTTTCCTCATCTGTGAAGTTGTTCAATTAAACTAGACAATCTCTGCGTTCCACTCCAGTCTTCCAGTCCTGTTCGCTGACCTGAGAATTCAGTATACTGGCCCCTTCTGATGACACTGAGGGTGGCTCACATTTACTGTGTAATTACAGTGAGCTAGTCACAGTTGAGACGCTATCTATAAACTCTCTCATGGAACCCTCTATGCAGTGCTAGGAGGTGTCAGTGGTAATAACCATGATTTACTGAGCACTTACTACATGCCAGGCCCCTTGGAATGTGCTTTTACAGGCCTCATCTTCTTTAAGCTTCTCAACAGCCTCACAGGGCAGTACTGCGATTGGCCCCACTTTACAGATGGAGAAACAATGGCACAGAGAAGCTAAGTAGCTTGTCCAGGGCCACAGGGTCAGTTTCACACCTGAAATTGGACCTTCCTAGGCATGTGATCTAAGCCAGTTTTCTTCTTTGATGAGAAAACTGGATTCCAGAGGCCCGGTGACGTGATCCAGGCCACACAGCGCTCAGCAGCAGAGGAGAGAACGCTGGGACCCCAAGGCTGCCCAGCTCCTCCCCACACGCCAGCTCTGGGAGTCAGGGAGCAGTCAACGGTTTCCAGGCGGCTCTTGGCACCCCAAGCAGGGCTCCAGAGCCTGTTAGTTCACGGTTCTATTTGGGTGAGTGTGGGTGGGGCTGGCAGGCAAGGAGGAGGGGGCTGGGCCAGGTGCTGGGAGGGAGCCCCTGGGTGAACAAGCCCAAATAATGTCAGCAGTGGGTGGGCAGAGCTGTAGGGAGGGCAATGGAAAAATAAAAATAAACTCTCCTGGGCAGCCGCCCAACCGGGCAGAGAATGTTCTCTGTTTCTCCTCTCCGCCACCCCATCCAGAAAGTGACCAGCTCCTCCCCGCCCTCCCATGACTCAGACCTGCTGGCATGGGCCGGGCCTCCCTTCCACCTGAAAGAGCAGCCTCTCCCCATCACTGTACCTTTGAGAGCCTCAGGGAGCACCCTCTCAGGGACTGGATGAGAAGACGACCGGGGGGCCTGGGGACCAGGGTTCAGACGCTCGCTTGGCCACACCCTCCTAGGCTGTCCTTGGGAGACCCCTTCTCTCTGTGCACGGGCCTGTCACCTTACTTTGGCAAGGGGTCTCACTTCACATGGTGTCCAAGGCTGTAGGGAGGTGAGGGTGGTCATTCCCGGCTTCTCAGAGCTGCCTGTGGAGACGCAGGACCCAACAACCTGGGGGCCTGGAGAGACAGACGCCTTGAGGCTGTGTGGGCCCACAACCCCTGCCACCTCGGGCAAGGGGTTCTCCGAAGACCAGGGTCCCAGCCTGTGGAAGCTGGGGCTCAGACGCTCGCGTGAAGGACACGGGCAGGAAGGGAGATGCTTAGAGAGCATCCTGCCCGATTTCCATCTGTGCTACAGATGGGCCAGCTGATCCCAGGGAGAGGGACGGTCTTGTCCAAAGTGATGTCATTGCAGTGCCCTGGGCTGAGTCTCTTTGCCCAGGCTGCAAGTCCCCTCTCCCAGGACAACTCTTTCTGGGTGAGGACCTACTGTGTGCCTGTGGCTTCATACCCATTTCCACAAAAACGCCCTACAAGTGATCCCCGCTTTGCAGATGAGGAAACTGAGGCTCAGGGAGCTGCAACCTCTTGCCCAGGTTCTTTCCATGATGAATGGTGGCACCCGGCCTGGAACCTGGGCTGTGGGACCCCAGGCGGTGCCCTGTCCACACCGGCTCAGCCTGCTGCTTCTCTCTCTGCAGGCCCAGCCCCCAGCCAGGAGGCCGGGACCAAGGCCCGCTTCCCGCTGAGCGATGCTGTGGAGGAGGGCACCTGGACGGCCTCCGTGGTGGACCAGCAGGACCACATCCTCACGCTGCAGCTCAGCACTCCGGCTGACGCCCCCGTCGGCCTCTACCGCCTCAGCCTGGAGGCGTCCTCCGGCTACCAGGGCTCCAGCTTTGTGCTGGGCCACTTTACCCTGCTCTTCAATACCTGGTGCCCGGGTAAGCCCACTCCACCCACAAGAGGGGCAGGGGTAGGCGGGGCTGGACCCACATGGGGAGACCCCTGGGTGGGAGGAGCAAGGCCGGAAAGGCAGCAGAGGGGACTGCGCGAGGCCCCCCATGCTCCTCGGCACTCCTCTCCACGTGAGTATTCCTGCTACCCCCTTTGCAGAGGCAAAATGGCATACCCAGGGCCTGCGTCTACCATGGGATTTCACTCCCTGCCTGAGCCCGTGTGTTCCTGCAGCACTGTGAACTGGGCCTGGTGGCCTCTTGGTGCCAGGAGCCCCACATCAGGAATGGGGTGCTGACGCCCAGGCCCAGGACACCACGTTCGAGTTCTGCCTCGTGGGCCCTGTCTTAATGCTCCCCCAGGCTGATATGGGGAGGGGAAGCTGAGCGAGGTGGGGCAGGAACAGTGTGGTGGCCTGACCGCCTCCTCATACACAGTCTCAGTCGTTCTTTTCGACAGTCCCGGGGGGGACATCAGCGTCCTCGCTTCACAGATGGGAAACTGAGGCTCCGAGAGGTTCAGTGGCATGTGGAATCTCTTTCAATAAGCATACAGAGAATGTTGGACAGAACTAGTGTCAGAGGGGAGGACCTGGGAGAGCCGAGACTGACTTGAGCAGGAAGGAGGAGGCAGGACTTGCCAGACCTCCTCGGACTTCAGTTTCCCCCTCTGATTCTACGTCTCCTTCCTGCTCTAACAAAGCCAAGTGGGGAGGGAGGCCTTGAGGTGGCCAGGTCTGGGAACAGTGTCCCCTCAAGGGGCAGCAGTTCTGGCTTCCTCATTGCTAGACAACCACCCTCTTACCAGGCCATGCTAGACATCACCTTCTTACCAAAACAACTTCTCTGTTTTGAGGTATTTTATGACATATTGAGCAGAAAACTTTTTAAAATTTTCTCCTTTCCATATTTTGGCTTTTATTTCTAATTATAACAGTAAGACATGAGGACATCCTCTTTAGAGAAGCCTCAATCACTACGGAGGATCAGTCTTGACTCTCCCCCTTATGGGACCCACTGTTAACTATCTTAGGGGCTCATCAACTAGTTGGTCTGTACGTGCCAAGATGTGGGTCTCTCTGTCTCAGTCTCTCTCATACATAAACGGATCCCACAGCACATATCGACCTAGAACTTGGGTTCCCCTTCACGCACCTTGACATACCCACCCAGACTGCCAACAGCTGCTCATTCTTTCTGAGAGCCCCGACTGTGCTGCCCCGTGCCCAGATGGGTGGCCCCACCCCCACCCATGGACAGATGATTGTGCCTGGGGTTCATCGCCAGGAGGGCATGTCAACACCCCCTCACTTACACGTCCTTTGGCCATGTGAAATGACTCCTCAGGACAGAAGTGGCCTTGGGGTACTCTGGCACGGGTTTGCTTTGACTTTTGGCCTATCAGCAGAGGGTTGGAACTAGTTGGCAGCCCTGGTCATGGGGCAGGACCACGCTTCCTCCCCTTGGCTAACCCCGCCCCCTCTTCGTCATCAGCGCAGCTGGGCTTCAGAGTTCAAGGAAGAGTTCAGGGACGGGGGTGCGGTTTCTGGGGTGTCCCCCTCCTTCCCACTCTGCCCCACCCTGTGGATTGAGGTGGCGGTCAGCCAAGCAGCACAGTGACTAAAGTGACCCACATCCTCGGGTGGGAGTCTGAGAAGGCATTGGATCTGATGCAAAGGCAGGAAGCCGGGCTGGGCCGGGGCGGGGGTGGGAGCTGGGGAAGGAAATTGTCCCGATGGTTGGGGAGGCCCGGGTCCCCCTGGAAAACGGGACCTTCCTAGCCCGGAGCTCCGGGACAGATACGATCTGGTGTCAGTTACGTGCAAGGCTCCATGCCCATGTCCCCAAGGCCCTCTCCTATGCTCAACAGAGACCTGAGCTGGGGACATCACAACCCTGAGCTGAGAGGGAACGGTCTCAGAAGTGCTGTGGGGTCACACTGTGGGTTTTTCTTTCTCTTTCACTCTTTGTCCTGCACTGCTGGGCTGGAGTGGAGTGACCACAGTTCATTGATATTGAGGTTAATTTTTATCAGGGTTTCTGGAGCCAAAGAGTAAGACACACAAGAGGCTCCCTTCACACTTGCTCTCTTCGCCGATGAAAGTGGGAGTTGCTGATCCCTGCAGATGGGCATGGCAGGCCTGGGGATCTGAGGGTCCCTGGCAGGACCTGGGGGTCCGAGGTGGGGTCCCAAGGCTCTGAGGGTCAACCTCTGTGCTCTTTCCCTAGTGACTTCTCCATGAGGCCCAGTAGGCACAGTGCTGGGACCCGGGATACTTTTAGGGGCCCCCGAAAATTTTTTAATTTCTTTTAAAATCAAAAGAAGAAATGGCCGTTTAAGCTGAACAATAGGTTATTTAATATGTGATGTGAAGATATGCATCATTATATCCAGGCAGTCATGAAATCATTTTTTTTCCTGCGAAGGAAGGGCAAGGGTCTGAGCTCACCAAAGCCACCACATGGCTCTGGACTTCCCCTTCCTGATCTCAGTTTCTTCACCTGTGGAATGGAGACAGTAAAGCCAACCTGGCCCGACTTCCTCGGCTCCTCATCTGCCCTCCCAGCCATAGGCAAACATGTCTTCCTGCAGCCAGACCCTCGCTTGCTCTGGTCCTCTGCTTAGAATGCTGTCTACCAGGCTCCAGGTGTCTATACCTTCATAATTTAGAAGAGGCAATATTCAATACCATCTTCTCCAAGGAGCCCTCCTCAACCTCCCCTGACACTGGACAGGATGCACCTCCCTTGGCTTCCCCCTCTGGCACTGAACTCTCTCCACCTTGAGTCATGTTCCTCCCTCGTGCGGGCTCAGGGCTTTCGTTTCCACAGCACCTTTTGGGTCTGTGTCACATTTTACTCTCAAGCCCTTTCAGGGAGGCGTTGAGGTCGGTAGTGAAGGCAAAATGACCTCCGCAGGGTCACACAGCAAGTGAGGATCAGGGCCAGGGCTTCCTGACTCCTTGTTTAGTGCTCCTCTGTCTCTTGTTTTGGCATCAGTTTTCCCTGCTATACCATGTTCTTGAGTCTCGGTTTTCCTGTTTTTAAAATGGGGCTTCCAAGGGTCCCTTCCTCATAGGGCCCTTGTGGAGATTAGGTGACCTAATAATGTCATGTATTTACTGCGGGTCCCGGCACATGGCACATGTTGGACAAATGGCAGTCTTTGCTGTCACTAACCGATAACCACATCTCTCATGGATGTGGAATTCTTAATTATGATTAGTTTTTCTAGTTAGATGATAGAAAGGCCTCTGAGAAACTGGCGTGGCCTGGGGAGCTGGCCCGCGGCGGCCATGTTTGCAGGGACCCTGGGCCTCGCCAGACCCAGAACCGAGGCCCCCTCCTTCCTACCTGCAGCGGACGCCGTGTACCTGGACTCGGAGGAGGCACGTCGGGAGTACGTCCTCACGCAGCAGGGCTTCATCTACCAGGGCTCGGCCAAGTTCATTAAGAGCATCCCCTGGAACTTCGGACAGGTAGGGCCACACCTGCCCCTCTCAGCCATCCTAGGCCCTCTGGGTCCCAGGAAGCGGGGGCTGCAAAGGTGCGAGCTGGTTGCAGACTCAGGGATGCAAAGGCCCTGCAGTGGCTGCAGGTTTTGAGAGGGCCGAGGCTGGCCTGAGGTCACACAGCAAAGGCAGTGGTCCTGCATTCAGGTGGAGAAAGAACTAGGAGAGCCTTCAGGAGCTGTGGAATCCGGTGGATTCTGGGAGGCAAAAGAAGGACCGTACATCAAAATCACAGGAAGTACTAGGAGGACACTCACCACGGTCTCTAAACCACTATCCAGATCCCTGGTTCTCAAGCTTACACACACATCAGAATCACCAGGAAAATGTGTTAAGACAGAGGGCTCGATCCCACCCTGAGTCTCTGATTCAGTGAGACTGAGTAGGGCTAAGAATCTAAGAAATTCCCAGGGATGCCAATGCTGTGTGTCCAGGACCCACGTTAGGAAAGACGCTGGTCTGGTTGTATCTGTTGGCTACTGTTTCCTAGCAAACAGGGTGAAACCTAGAGGCTACTCACAGCAGCTGTTGGTCACTTCTCCCAGGCACGGCTGGCTGGGCTGGGCTGGGCTGGGCTGGGCTGATGGTCTCTCTCTGTCATGTGAATCCTCACTCTCCAGCCGGCAGACCTGGTTCTCCACACTGGTGCCCTTATCTCCTTTGTCATCCAGCCACCCATACAAATTCTTAAGACTTCAGAGAAAACTTCTGAAGGAGCCCTCAGGCCCCTAGCCTCTCAGCCTTCTGATGTGTTGGGGGAATGGCAGGAAGAGCATTCCAAGCAGATGGAATAGCAAGTGCAAAGGCCCTGAGGCAGTAGGCCTGGGGCAGAAGGCCTGGGGTTGAGTGGGGTGCGGATCACACAGGGCCTTGTAGGTCTCAGGGTGGGGGGTCCAGATTCTACTCTGGGCGCCCTTGAAACAGAGGAGTGTTGGGACTGGGTTTATGCTATTATCATCCATCTCAGTTTCCATCAGAGCAGCCTGTGTGGGCTGGGCCGGGAGGAAGAGACTGTCACCTGCCCTGCGGGGTGAGTCAGGCCTTAGGAGAAGGGAGACACTGGGCTCCCCCTCTGTGGGCTCTGCTCTAAATTCCCAGATCTCCCCGAGCCAGGCCCTGAATGCCGATGGGCCCTGCCCGATTTTCACATGCTCACCACCTGCCCAGTCAATGTCCCACCCACTCCCTCCTGGGCCTGGAGAAGCTGGCCTCACAGAGGTTTGACCCACCCAGCCCGAGGTCTGCAGCTACTGGGGGACTTAAGGCAGGCTTCCTGGAGGAGGTGGCTTCTCAGCCCCCTTTCTCCTCTTATTCCTTCTGCCAGTTTGAAGATGGGATCCTGGACATCTGCCTTATGCTCCTGGATGTCAACCCCAAGTTCCTGCAGGACGCCAGCCGCGACTGCTCCCGCCGCAGGAGCCCGGTCTACGTGGGCCGGGTGGTGAGCGGCATGGTAAGTGCAGCTTCTCCAGTGGTGACCAGGCCACAGACAGGGCAGGGCATGCAGAGATGCACGAACAGGAGCGGTGTAGGGCTGAGGATGGCCCTCAGCTATGTCCTCAGCTTGTGCTTGTCAAGTGCACCCTGTCCTGGGCACGGGTCCTGTGGGCCTCAAGCTCACGGGGCTCACGTTCCAGTGGGCAGGTGTAGACCGAGGGACCGCAACCCCCGAGAAGGAGCACGCAGGCCCTGCAGGTCCCGTGCAGAGCCTGACCCCAGTGCCTCACCTGGGCAGTAACTAGGGGAGGGCATTCCAGGTAGAGAGTGCTGCCATGCAAAGGCCCTGTGGAGTGCGTTACTTGGGTGGGCTTAGGGGACAAGAAGGGGGCCTGAGTATTTGGAGCAGATTGAGCAAGGCGGTGGGTGAACAAGAGCTGCAGAGGGGCAGGGACCAGACCACCAGGGCCTCGTGGGCCGGGAACAGGAGGCAGGATCTTATTCTCAAGGTGAGGGGCTCGGAGGGGGCAGCAGAGTTGCAGGGGCTTGGAGGGAGCAGCAGAGGCGGGTGAAGGCAGAGTGTGTATTTGTAAAACTCAGATCACACCTGTCACACCATGCTCACAGCACAGATTCACAGCTCCAGGTTTGCAACCTTGACTCCCCTGCTCCTACACGACCTTGACTCCCTTCCTCCTGTATGACCTTGACCCATCAGCTCCTCCTGCACGACCTTGACCCCCTCCCTCACTCCCCCCCCGACCCTCCACTCCCCACCGTCTGCCACATACCTCAGCCTGTCACTGTGGCACTGCTGTCCCCTTCCTGCAGCTCCCGCCCCTGCCCTTCACACCTGCTGTCCTTGCCTGCCCTGGGACTGCCACCTCCCTCTCCCAGCCTCAGCTCCGTGCCACCTTGCTGGCTGCAGGTCAACTGCAACGATGACCAGGGCGTGCTGCTGGGACGCTGGGACAACAACTACGGCGACGGCGTCAGCCCCATGTTCTGGATTGGCAGCGTGGACATCCTGCGGCGCTGGAAGAACCACGGCTGCCAGCGCGTCAAGTACGGCCAGTGCTGGGTGTTCGCCGCCGTGGCCTGCACGGGTAGGCTGTGTGGGACGTGGGTCCCGGGGCCAGACAGGACGCAGGGTGCACCCAGGGAGGGAGTCAAGACACCCCAGTCCGGCCTCTGCCACCAACGCCATCCATGCCCTGTGTGGCCTGGAGCCTGTGACCACCCTCTCTGATCCTTCTTCCGACAGCTCCCTCCTGGGTGGTCGTAGAATCCAGGGGTATGATTTGGGGACAGTGCAGGCTCAGGGCTGAGGACTCGGGCTCTGGACCAGGCGCACCCCAGTCAGAAATCCCTCTCCCACTCCCTTGCTCTGTGACCTTGAGCAAATGACTTCTTTCTGAATCTCAGTTTCCTCAACTGCAAAACGGGGACGACAGGCCCAGCCTCCTGGGGAGGGTGTGACATAAGGCTGCCCAGCCCAGAGCCTGGCCCAGCATCTCTCTTAGCAAGGATTAGCGAGTGGTAACTGGATAATAACAGTCCTATCAGCAACGTCCAGAGAGAGGAAGCACGTCCTAAAATGTGGAGGCGGGGGAGGTTAGGCATTCAAAACCAAACAAGGAAAATACATCCAGAAATGTGACAAGTCCAGAAAATGCTGACAGTTGTTCCCAGGTTGATGATGGTGCTTACGTGAATGGGTTCAGGACCTAGACCTGATTTGGATCCTGGGTCTGCGTCTTAGCAGCTGTGTGTCCTTGGGCGACTCGCTCGACTCCTCCGAGCCACAGTCCCATCACACGTGAGGTGGGCGCGACTGCAGCGCCTTTGTGAGGGAGGGCTGTGAGGGCTGCATGAGCTGATGTGTGTGAGGTGATTGAGATGATTCGGTCGTGACAGCTGACTCTGGCGGTGCTGCTTGGTATCTGCGCTCTCGTAATCACTGGGCTCAGAATTGGAAGCGGATTTGGGGCTCCCAGCTTTTATGACTTCAAAACCAGGGCTAGCCGGGCTCGGTGGCTCAGCCTGTAATCCCGCGCCTTTGGGAGGCTGAGGGGA